CACCAACGGTTTAGTCAAATCCAAATATTTGAAGGTGCATCATTTGCTTAGAGGTGGTTTTTGGTAGGCAGGAAAAGTAGACTGTCTAGGTTTTCTTGAAAACTGCCTCTAACTAATGGACATCAAACTCAGTCCTGTACCATGCCAAAACACTACTACATTACATAGTAGAGGAAATATTTTAAGCAATACTGTTACCCCGGGGACATTGTCACTACATATCTTAGAATTGGCTTTTGGAAGTAATGTGTTACAAAGCAAGTCATTGTTTTCTTCCTGATTATAAGCGTTTTATTGCCTTAAAGAAGCTCAGTTGTTAGTTATCACTTCATACTGTCAGAGTTGTCAGTAACGTATATTTCAACCCACAACAAATGAAGTTTATAAAGCCTTAATGTGTGCTTTTCTCTTAAAGGAGGATAAACAGTATGAGACTTCCCGTTAAATCACTTCTTCTTTGATATCACGGCTAAATCTAACAGTAGATTTATACTTATCAACCATGCAATTGAATAATAAAAGTTAAACTGAAATTTCATGCACGAAGTTTATTATGATTAATTTTTTCCCTTGAGTTCTTAGTGGATTATACGGCTTCAGTAGCATGTCGCCATTTTACTTTCTTCTCTACAGTCTTTTGAACCTGGCTCCATGAAGGTCCACAAGCTTCCACTTCTTTCTCACATGATCTCCTCCATGTCACCCTCAGCTGGGACGCACAACTCATCCTTTCCTCTTTCGATTCCACTCGAGGATCCAGCCTGGCGCGTGATGTCCTCAGTCGGCCTTCTTAGTGTATGTCCAATCCATCTCCACTTCTTTCTGTATATTTGTTGGGTGATAGGTTCTTAGTTGGTTCGTTGCCAGCCAGACAGCCAGAGTTACTCCTTGCTTATTCTTATTATTCTGGCCATCTGATCTCATCTTCAGTATCGAGTGAGCGTAGGGGGTAACTGTTGATGAATGTTTGTAGTTTGTTGGGAATGATTTTCGTGACTCGCCAAGTTTCGGAACCATATAGAAGTACTGACCTGACTGGCATTGGTGGTGAAAATCCGGATGCTGTTCACGCTTTATGCTGAGTGGAGTGCAGTAGATCTCCACACTGGTTTGAGATTGATGAAGGCCTGTCTTGTTGTATTTCCGATCCTGACTGGCTTTAACATCCTCGTCTGTGCCTGTGCCGCCTGAAGTTGAAACGATGCTGCCGAAATGGTAGGTGGAAGAGACTATTTCCTTTAAGTTTCTCCCGTTAATGTTGATTGGTGCTTCTTGTTATTGATGCTATTGTTGGTTGGGTACCTTCATCACCTCTGTCTTCTTTACATTCACTTGAAGTCTCGTCTTCGCAGCCCTGCCTTATCTGTCAACTCGTAAGTTTTCCCCTACAGATCTTCGAGTTTGTGCGACATTAAACATAAATCACCTGAGAAATCCAAATCTATCTCTCTGGTCTTTTCATCGGTTCAGCGTATGCCCCTCTTCTCGCTCCTCAAGGTTTACTGCATGATTCAGTTCACCACAACACAATCAGGAAGATCATTGGTGATAGTAGGCAGCTTCGCCTTACTCCTGTCTTCACTTTAAAGGCATCACTGAGCTTTCCATTGTGAATTACTTGTCTGGTATGTGGCGTCTTCATATAGTTGTTGAATGAGATTGATAAAGACTTGTGGTACTCTGTAGTGTTGAAGGAGATGCCTGCCAAATTATTTGTCTGTCGACGCTGTCAAAGACCGTTTCAAAGTCGATGAAGTTGAGGTAAAAATCCAGTTGGCTGTCATTGTATACTCTGTTCTATGATGATGCGTAGTGTAGTGTCGCAATTTGGTCAGCACATGGTTTGTTCTTCCTGAATCCAGCCTGTTGCAGCCATAATTCAGAATCCAGAGCATCCTTTAGACTCTACAGTATGATGCAGTGTAATATTTTTCTTGCTTTGAGTGGACAGCAGCATGATTCCTCACCAGTTCTTGCGAAGGCTTAGGTCTCTCTCCTTTAGGAGTTTGACAAGGTAGCCCTTCTTCCAATCTTTCTTTCTGACACGGTTAGTCAGGTTTCTTTCCACATCTCTTTCAAAGAGTCCCGGTATTCTTCCACGCAGGCCCCTTCAGGGATGTTGCTTAATATCTCTCATTTTGTTCTGATTGCTTGCTGACGTGAAGATGTCTTTTTCAGTTTCGTCCTTCAGCTTCTGGGTGTTGGTTTTCAACTGTGGTCTATCACCAACTGTGAAGGCTTTCAACTTGATTTTGAAAGCAGGTTCCTTGCACTAGACAGTGAGTGGTGTAAACCTACATCTGCTTCTCTTCTTCATCTTGTATCCAGTAGTCTGCGTCTCCACTTTATTCACATTGAGATGAAGTCGATCTGAAGTTGATTTTAGTCTGTCCATCTGGTGAGATCAAATCCATGTCACTGCCTTGTGAGTATCCTTGTGTTTCTACACACTGCCTGACTCCAATCACCAAATCGTTGAATGTGCAGATGTCGGAAAACAGTTATCCCTTCTCATTCATTTCATCCAGTGCTTCTAGACCCACAATGAGTTCGCTTCCTGTGTTGTCCGCTCCCCACATTTTGGCATTCATGTCACCTCACACATCAGAATTTCGATGTCGCCAACTGCAGTGGAGTCTTGTCCAGTACTCATTGCATTCGTCTGTAGAATTCCTTCTTCTCCTCTTCATCTGCATTGTCTGTAGACGCGTAGCATTGCATGCATGATATTATCATGACTTTCCTTCCTTTTGAGTTGAATCCATCTTGCTGTCATGATCCTGATCCTGCATGAGGAGATTGGTTCCCACTGCATGAGAGACAGCCTTCCATGCTGTTTGTTTGGAGTGGGATATCATGATAGCCACTCGACAACTCAGTCTGCTCGTGGTTGTCGTGTGCTCTGGGTGACAATATCGGAGTAGATTATTGACTCCAGTGCAGTTGACAGTTTGGAGAATCCACTTGCATTGCATCTGCACATTCCTCTCAGATTCCCAACATAGCACTTCTACACCATACCTGCTCATCTCTTAGGCAATCCGGCCAGCCTTACCAGACAACTTCAAACACTGTGTGGACATTACATGTCCCCAGTCTTACTTTCGCTTTCATCCAAGGAGAGGCGAAGACACATCGTCCAATCGACTTCTCGAAGGCTTTCACCAACTGGCATCATTTCGTCTCTCCGATTCCAACGAAGAATAAGTTTACTTTTGTTTTGATATTTTCTTTGTGTTATGAAGTTTCTTTATCGATTGTATTGGTTTTGCTGGGTAGAGTTGCTAGGTGTGTGCCCAACCTTGTGTTTAACCGGGATTAGGACCGGCTAGTAACTAGTGAACTAGTTAACCAGGTGAGGTTATGAAGCTTATTAAGTAATAACAAATCAAAATGACTAGGAATGAAAACGTTCTGATAGGAAACTTTAGACTAATTATATCAGCTGGTTAAACAGTTTTCCTCATCAAACACTAGTTTAAATTACATTATCTTTTCATAAAAGGGGGGGGGGGTATAGAATAACTGAGAAAGTAAGCAACCAACCATACAGTTTCCTGTGGTTATTTAAATTAAGCATAGGTCAGTGAAAGGATATAAACTAATTGATTAAATGCAATAAAATAGAACGTTTCGCAAAGTATTGTTGTTCCACTTTTCCACTGTGTAAGAAGAAAGATTTGATAAATATCAAGATACACAAAGAATCTGTTAGAAGAAGTATATAATGACAGGTGACTACATTTTAATGATTGGGATCAATATAGAACCAAGTGACCGAAGTTCTTCATTTTTCACCTTTCGAAGAATTCACTCAGATAGCCTATGCTGATATAGACGACTCTCAATAATAATGACTTCATATATTGTAACCGTGTCTTCATCTGATCATTATTATTTGTCTTAGATACTTTGGAGAAGTGAGGGGAGGGTATGTTCTAGCATGATAAACCCCAATATAGAGATAATAGGACTGCTATTTTCTAGTGCAACATCCGGAAGTATTATGATATTTTGCATTTAACTGTTTACTGTTTTGACTATCTAAGTGAAACAGCCATGGTTTAGCAGACTAGTAATGATACTGTGTGATGATTCTTAGTAAATGGTAATTTTAGCCATTGGATTCGAATCAGCGACCACCGGCTTTCCTGCTAGGTGCTCTACCGACTGAGCTAAGAGACTAATAAAGTTAAATATGATTTTCACTAAGCATTAAAATCCATTATTGTGATTCATTTCATTAATGCAGTGCTGAAGTCGGATAGGATCAGATATACGACTTTCAGTCTGCACAAAGAATATGTTATAAACAAATAATTGGTTCTGTTTTCAATGTTTGATGTCTCTCGTCACTCATCTACGCGTGATATGGGTCTCAGGATTGATGCTTATTGGATGTTTGACCGTAAGTTCAATACCTGTTTAGTTCATATGACACACAAAGATGTTGCGTTTGGCAGTGGCAGGTACTGAAAATATTTACTTATTAAGAGACTTTCAGTTTTATTAAAGAGATCGTTGATAACCCGTGATTTTAATGTCAAAATATGAAAACTGTGAGGTTACTGATGCAAATCACTTGATTTCAAGGTAATATTCATCACAAAATCATAGCACTTAGGGAACCAATGAAGATCTGGGACCACTAGGCACCTGTTTTATTCCAGTATAGAACTCCTCCTCCTCAGCCGCCAAAATGTGAACCAATGGGTTCCAAACTAGTTGTTGAGTGGTAAGGTCCCCGATACGAGACCAAACTGCCACTTGCTGGGTCCCTAACATGGTTATAATTACGCACTACTGAGAAGTTTGATAGTTGGTGCTCAATAGTTCCTTATTTGATGTCAGTCTGTCATAAAAACTACCCTGATATCAATCAATCAATACTCATGAACAAAATCAAATCATTTGTCTGAAAATTTGTTTTATTTACTTGTACTACTGAAATTTATATAAATAATATAGTGATAAAAGTAAAATTTTTGAACTTTTTTCAGTGAAACCTATGGGGGAATGGATTCAGAATCTGAGGGAGATGCTTTAGCGTATCGATATAGTATGACTGCGAACGAATATCACCAACATCATTATGATAATGCTCGACAGCTATCTTTATTGAAATCTCATATCTCTACAACATCCAATCCATTAAATGATGAAATGATTACAGATCATTCCAGAATGAATCAATTAATTATAGATGAATTAAATATGATGAAACAGACAAGTAATAAAAATCTATCCAATGTTCAGTTGAGTGCAGGTTATTATAACCATCCACTTGCAAACAGTTTTCAAACACAGGGACGATTAAGCAATTATATGCGTTTCTATGATTTCACTTCATTCTATCATAACAATAATGATAATAACAGCAGTGTGAATGAAATGACAGTTTCCGGTACAGAAGATCAAAATTCAAATTATCCGCTTATTCATTCAATGTCTAATAATAGTGATAAATTGCGCTCTGAACAAGAAATCATTCAGTCATCCAATCCATTCTTGTCATATGTTGTACATGATCAGGAGAAAAGTGTTTTAAATCTAATGTCACAAGAATTAGTTAGCAACGTCCCATACTCATCATATACAACGAATCCAGTGAGATTAATAGTCCCATCAGATTCATCTTTACTGAATTTAAACACTACTGGACCTAATGAAAGTGCTATTAGTTTAAACAAACAAACAAATCCTTGGATAAACTATTCTTTGAACGAAGTAGATGAAGTGGGATCATCAAAGTATACTATAAATAACAATCCTATAATCCCTTCAATTTTAACTACTCATTCTATGTTAAATAACACTTCAAACATGACAAAAATTCATAACACAACAGTATGGTCTACAAGTCATGATACCAAGAGTACAATAGTTCCATTCTTTTCTCAAAGTTATCCTTCTGTAAATGATGAAAGTTCATATGATGATAGTTTGAGTGATGATGATAACCCTGACGATACTATTACTCATTCAAATGACAATCAACAACCAAAGAGTCATCATTATCAACAATCACAAATTTTAAATCCTTCACAATTTAATTTATTTCAGAATTACGTTCAAACACCATCATTATCATCAAAATCCTCTTCATTTCTAATATCACATAATAGCTTAGATAATTTTTCTGAAAGACTTGCTGATTCATCTAATTTAAATTCAAGTGTTCAATATATCATCGAAAATGAAATTGACAACAATATGAAAATTCAGAATCGAAATCAAACAACTAATCATTCTCATATACAAAGAATACAATCACAAAATCCAGTTAATTTTAGCTTGATCTCATTAAAACAAAATGCAAACCAAAAAGAAATCAATAATAATAGTAATAATACTTCACAACTTAACTTAAATGACAGTTTTTCAACCTGTACAAATGATCAAACATTTCGCCAATGGTTAAATGATTCACTAACAATAAATCAATCTATTCACTGTTCAGATAATTGTCCTATACCTGTTCTTCTATGTCCAAGAAGTACATAATAACAAGTATAGTAATACTACTACTACTAATAATAATAATAATACTGTTACTACCAATAGTACAATCATCATACATATATATTCTAAAAAGTATAAACATCCGATAACGAAGTGTCGGTTGGTTTCTTGTGATTCGTTTGAACAATTTACACTTTCACTTGTCTATTTTAAAAATGATAATGTTAAAGTCTGAACGGTCTTTCTTGTATTCTGTACATTCAATGTAATGCTAATTACCATCAGATTATAAAGAAAAAATCATTTTGTCAAAAAATGCTTTTGGTTAGGGTATATTACTTATTTAAAATAAGTAGTATAGAATTAACAAGTTGAATTGGGGGGGGGGGTTGTGGGGATATGGTGGTTTTTCAAGTTGGTATTCATCATGGACTGACATCAACTAGAGAAACATAGGAAATTAGAGAGGCACTCCGTCCTACAATGCGATTCGTCAGCAATGTGTACCCATGATAGGTCGTAACCCAACGGTCCACCAGGTTTACCCAACCGATCACGACTTCTCACTGGAACTTCAGAAATCACCTCTTGACGGTGGTCACCAATGATCAGAACCATGAGTACAAGTAACAAACGATTACATTGGATGATGGTCGCATTATATCGTGAACTGACGGATGTTGGAAATGTGGAACAATGGATTCCAACCTAGTCGCTCAATGGTAACGTGCTGGTCACGGAGTCTGAGGGTCTTGTATCCGATCCCTGGGAGGCGGGGTCATGGGTGCGCGCTGCTGAGGAGTCTTATTATGGGGAAGAAACAGCTGTCCGCTGCTCCAAGGTTTCCAATGTTCCTTGATGAATGCCGACATGAAAGAAATTGTCGATAATATGGGAGTAAAACGAACACTGGTAAATTGTAATTCCGTTTCAATCTGTTTATGGGGAAATTTATCAAAAACCCATAAGAAATCAAGAGAAAAATATTAGGAGTAGTGACACAGGTGTTACTACTAATAATTCTACTAGTAACGGTAATGATAGTGGTAATAATAGTGACAGGGTTGAGAGAGAATTCAAAGCCACCACTGCGCTAACATACAACGAAGGTACCTCAGAAGCATTACGATGAATTCTCAATAAGACTGCCTGGGATTAAAGTGGCATTTAAACCATCAAACTAGCTTAGAAACAAGCTTTATAGATTAAAAGATCTTAATGACAGAATTAGGAAGAAATATTTGATTTACCAAATCCCTTGCAATGATTGTGAGGTCAAATACATAAGTCAAAGTAGTTGGCTAAGGTCAATTAGAATAAGAGAGCACAAAGGCTCGGCTAAGTCAAGATTAGAAGATCCTAATAAGATAAGAAATCTAGAGAAAACTTTCGGCTGTAGCTCTGCACGCAATTACATGCAATCACACAGTAGGGTGGGATAAAGTGGCAGTATTAAAATCTTAGTTGGGTGGAGGGAGAGATTCATAATCGAATCTTTGTTTATCGAATCAACACCAAATACATGCAATCGAAATGATTCTGCATCTGTCCCAGATATATATGGAAAATTCTACTACCCTTGTCATCACAGAGAAGGACAGAAAATTAGGAATATATAAAGTCTGTCACGAAGTTGTGGAGTTATCTGATATGAATATGGACAATAAATTGTGTCCGAAACGTTATCCAGTAAATGATACTGTTTCTTCACTGTGTAATATTTTTAATAAACAGACTAAAATGGAAAGTTGTCTACAGCTGTTCAAGTACTTTGTGCGACAAGTCCGACATTTTCGCACCTAAAGAAGTGCCTCATTCTACGAAGGAAATTCAGGAGTTTAGCTCAGGTGGTTTAGTCATTTATGCTAGACTGCGAGTGTGACATTACTCACCCCTGTCCTTAAATATTGTTGTAAACAAGATCGAATCAAAATTCTTATGATTTAAACTTCCTTGAAACATGTGCTTTACATTTAAATATTCGCACACGGTTCCAATTACTTGTTATGTTGAGATTCTCCCACGTTTTAATGTGCTTGGTTACGCATATCAGATGGACCTAGGAGGCATGAACAGTCCAATTCAGAACTCGTCAGCTGAATCCTTATGCACCCAGTGAGTGATTAAGTCTCCACTGAGACTTGCTGAGACCGCAACCACTACGCTGGTGAGGCACGTTAATAACCTCTTCCATAATGAGAAAGCTCAGTGATGCCTTTGAACTGAAGATAGGAGTAAGACAAGGTTGCCGCCTACTCTCACCGACCATCTTCTTGATTGTGTTGTGGTGGACTGGACTGGATCATGCAACAAACTGTGAGCAGTGAGAAGATGGGCATACGCTAACTGGACCCTCAGGTTCCTAGTGGGACATAGGGCTTCAGCAGCACATCGCCATATCAATCTCTTCTCTCTACAGTCTTTGCAACCTGGCAACACCACTGCCCACAAGCTTTCATTTCTTCCTCACACCATCTCCTCCACATCACCCCCAGACGCCCAACTCGTCGTTTCCCATGTGGATCCCACTCGACTGCCTCACCTGGCACGTGATGTCCCCAAATGGTCTTCTCGGTGTATGCCCGATCCATCTCCACTTCCTTCTGCAAAATTGTTGGGTTATAGGTTCTTAGTTGGTTCGTTGCCAGCCAGACAGCCAGAGTTAGTCCTTGCTTATTCTTATTATTCTGGCCATCTGATCTCATCTTCAGTATCGAGTGAGCGTAGGTGGCAGCTGTTGATAACGTATGTCAACAGTTTGTTGGAAATGTTTTTCGCAACGCGTCAAGTCTCTCAGCCGTCACATAGAACCACTGACTTGACTGACATTAGTGTTGAAAATCTAGATGTTGTTCACGCTTTATGCTGAGTGTAGTCTAGTGCAGTAGGTCCCCATACTGATTAATTTCAGATTAATGAAGGCCTGTCTTGATGTATTTCCGATCCTGGCATTGACGTAGTCACCTGTGCTGCCACCTGTAGTTGAGACGATGCTGCCTAGGTAAGCAGGTGGGAAGAGACAACTTCCTTTATATTTCTCCCGTTGATGGTGATTAGTGCTTGTTGTTTTCCTTGTTGTTATTGGTTGGGTATCTCCATCAACTCGGTCTTCTCTACGTCCATATGAAGGAAGTCCCATCTTTTCTGCATCGCCTCTTCTACCAACTTGTTGGTTTCGCTTGTAGATCTTCGAGATTGTGCGACATTAGATATAAATGATCATCTGCGAAATCCAAATCTCCTTCTAGGGTGTTTTCATGGGTCCAGCTAGCGTATGCCCATCTTCTCACTCCTCACAGTCTGTTGCATGATCCAGTCCAGTCCATCACAACACAATCAGGAATATGATCGGTGATGGTAGGCGGCAACCTTGTCTTACTCCTGTCTTCACTTCAAAGGCATCACTGAACTTTCCATTGTGAACAACATGGCAATTAGCATCATGTAGCATATAGCTATTGAATGAGGGTGATTAAGGTTTGTGGTACTAAAGCCTTAGTTTTGAAGGAGTTTCCAAATTATTTCTCGGTTGACGCTTTCGGAGACCTTTCGAAAGTCGATGAAGTTGTGATAGTGTTTACTACCATCCTATGCTCTATTTTATGTAGATGCATAGCTTCGCCTAGTTTACTAGCCGGTCCTAAGGCCGGATAAAGTGGGAATTTCGGGCGTAGGGTTAGCAACCGTACCACGTAAAACCAGTCCAATCGCTAAAGAAACTTCAAGGTACAGAGAAAATATAAAAAGCTTAAGCGAGTTTATTTTATTAATGTTGTCAAATTTGTGTAACCATTTCATTTTTCATAATCCTATGGTAAAGCTTAAATATACGCAACTAGTTGACATGAACTTAGTATTTTGCAAATTGACTACGGATTAATATTTGAGTTTTTCACCTTAAGCTATGGAAGATGTTTTACAAATACTTATCAGTCTATTTCTCTGAAGTGGAGAAGAAAATGTTTATTAAATAGTCTTCTCCAAAATGTCAACAAATCATTCCCCTTATTTTCAGCTTCAAATCTATTACTTCTGACTACAACACAATATAGATTCAATCAAAGATCATCAAAGAATAATTTGTCGTAATCCAGTGAACCATCACCAGTCAATCAAGATATATCGTTGTACTGTCAACTCCTATTTCAAGGGGAAGGTGCTATAGTGTGCAGAAAGTTTGAAAAAATCTTCATATGAAGCCGTATGTCCATAAAGCCTTTTTTAATGAATCATTTTACTTTGAAGTTTCGGGAAATAACACCTCAATCAACGTGTAACTATTAGGTTGGTTGAAGAGACGGAAAATCAACAGGATATAAATCTAGAAAGGCCTCGAAATAACCAAGACCATGGTAAATTTATATAAACCATTGTATTTTGCATATATTTGTTGACGTTGGAATACACCTTCGTAATATTATCGTCTTTTCCATTTACAGAGAAACCGAGTGATCGTCAAAGGTGGAATCTGAAGGTTATTTTCCAAGTGTCCATAATTAAATTAGTCACTCCAAGATTATAACAAGGGTTGTACAACACTGGACAGTGTCATCAGTGTAAATTCCGGCAACAAGACTACAATGTGACGACAACTTATTCGCACGTCTTCCAAAAGTTTTCGCTGATACTATCTGTCATGATACACTACACCGACAAGGTGAGTGGAATTATTGCAGAATGAACCCCCCCCACACACACACACACATAGACTACTACATTGATTCCTGACCCAACTACGAACAGAAACAAAGAGTGAAGGTCAGTAAGTTTATTAGCAGATACTTCAGTGACAATTATTTTTGACCGGTGATTTGGAAGTGGTCAGAAAAAATGTCCGATGCATAAATCCAGTCTAGCTTTTCTTATATTGGAATGAAATAGCCTACAAGAAGCCTTCGAATGTAGGATTCTCAAGTTATAAGGTTACAAGATCTATTGACTATAGACTCATAAGTTAAAGATGGTGTCGAAGAGAGTAAATAAATTTGACATGAAGTTCAAACTGTCAGTAGACATCCATCTCTTTTGTATGAAGTAATGTTGACACAACGAGAGGTTAGATAAGACGGTACAAACGAGAGATAAAAGAATTCAATCAAATACCATTTAGCATAAAATCTCTTCAACTTTACATTTTTCGTCTAAAAAATTGACTAAACTTCTTACTTTCACTAACCATATTTTTCTTTCAGTATTCCCCTTAGAAACTGCAGTCGTATGGATGTACATTGTACTCTATGAGGTCATACATCCATTATTTTCCAAATTTGTCGATCTATGATTCAGCAAAGCAAACAACAAGTGTTGAAC